TTATGGTTGGGGGTCATCACAACATGAGGAACTGTATTAAAGGGTTGCGGCATTAGGAAGGTTGAGAACCACTGGTCTAAGGGAAAAGAGGTCAGTGACCCTGACTAGTCAGGTATTGCATATTTTAAATATTCGTGGGGCACACCGCTTGAAAATCGCTGCAAGAGACAGCAAGAGCTCCTAAAGCAAAGTCCATACCCAGTATGAAAGGGACAAAACAGGTCAGAAGAAGGCTCCAGGAGACAGGTTACTTCAGAACAGGAAGTAAGAGTAAGAGCAACGATAGAAAAGTCCCAAACGTCCCTGTGACCAAACCCAAAGATGCTAACACAGCTGCCAATGTATTGTGCATCTACAATAACAAGTAGTTATCATCATCATCATCATCATCATCATCATCACAGTTTTGCAGCAGCGGAAACTGAGGCCTGGGAAGTTTTCAAAGGTCAACAAAAACTCCGAATATGACATTACACAGCCAGCCTGTCACAAAAAGTGACGTTTACGGGGAAAAAAAGTTGACTCGCCTTAGGTTTTGTTTTGTTTCAGAAGACAGGGAAGTGTGGCACAGGTTCCAGAAGGCCCTTTACCAGGTAACCTTTGTAGAAAGAACTGGAACTCTGAGGAGGCATGTCTCAGTAGCTGGAGATTTCACTTGGATGGAGCGCTATTCTGCAACGCCCCCCAAGGTGAATCAGATACTGCCGCGCTGCACACACATGTAAAGTCGTTACTGCAGGCTTCTGTGTGGGTTCTTGGCCGAAGGAATGTTCTGTCAAGTCTTCTTAGCGGTTTTTGCACTTTGTAAGACACGTTTTTCTCCCCATACCCATCTGGAAATGACCCATTCTTAAAAGAACGCAGGCTCTCGGATTTGGTATAATTGGGTGGTATAATAGGCTGGGCTGGGCTGGGCTGGGTTGCTGTCCCTGCCTCTGTGGGGAGGACTCATGAATAAGCCGTGTGTCATATGCAGTGGGTGTTTTTCAAAGGCATAGATTTTAGATTTCGGAAATGGAGAAAGATTCAGTCTTGTTGCGTATGTTTCTAAAACCCTTGCGTGCAGCCTGTTGGCTGATGACTCAGGTGAAAGGCAGCCAGCAGTGGCCTCTCCTCACCATAGAAGTGGCTGCTCCCTGTTTGCTCAGGTGGCCCCGAGTCCTGCCCTTTTGTCCCTGGGCCACGCCAACCTGGCCGGGCCACAAGGCCTCTGGTTGCTGCCCACAGCCGGTGACTAGGCCCCAGAACAGCCTTTGGGTGCAGGGGGCCTGGATTCCTGAGGACGGCCAGGCGATGGGGCTGTGAGTGAAAGTTTCCAAGCAGACGGAACAGAATTCACAGCAAAGGTTAGGGGGAAAGTCTCTGTCTGGAGTTTAGTCAGTCATCGCCTAGACCAGTGGTCGGCAAACTCATGAGTCAACAGAGCCAAATATCAACAGTACAACGATTGAAATTTCTTTTGAGAGCCAAATTTTTTAAACTTAAACTATATAAGTAGGTACATTGTTATTAACTTAATTAGGGTACTCCTAAGGCTTAGGAAGAGCCACACTCAAGGGGCCAAAGAGCCGCATGTGGCTCGCGAGCCGCAGTTTGCCGACCACGGGCCTAGACCAGTGATTTTCAATTGGTGTGCTGCAAGAATTTTATTTCTTACTGATCTTAGAGAGAAGAAGGAGGGAGGGAAGGAGGAAAGGAGGGAGGGAGGGAGAGACAGAGAGAGAGAGAGAGAGAGAGAGAGAGAGAGAAACATCAATGTGGAGGAGAAATGCTGCTTGGTTGCCTTCCACATGCACTCTGACTGGGATCGAACCCGAAACCTGGGTCAGGTGCCCTGACCCGGGAATCGCAACCTCAGTATCTTGGTGTATGGGTTGACTCTCCAACCAACTGTGCCGCACCAGCCAGGGCTGCCACCAGTATTTCTGAAACATGCCATTTAGTCAGGGGCACTGAGCTCTTTCCCCTTCGACTGTCAAATAAAACAATGACTATAGCCAGCACAATAGCCATCCAGTGTGAATGAATCAAAACTGCATCTATATAATTGTGGGTCAGATTGGCAAAAAATAGACTTTTTGGA